GGGAAACCGGGAACTCCACAAAACTTTTTGTGAAAGCCAAAAGGCCATATATCCATTTTTAATGGTTTTTCGACTTTTCGTCCAATTTCTGAACAAAAATGTATAAGCCAAAAAAATCTTGACCAAAGGGGGGTAATTATCTTCTTCACTTCAATCATTAGTCGAATTCTCTTTGATTCATTATCAATATTTATAAGGTATTCATGAGAAAATGAAATTCAATTAATTCCATTTCTTCATGTCAACAAATGAATAGACCAGCGCGCGCGAGAGCGCGCTCATAGATCTTGTGTTAAATGAAATTACCCGACGCGACGTTGCCGGAAACGCGCTAAACGCACCCGGGCAGTGTAGAGTGAATTCGGCAACGCAAGAGCCTAAAAACACGGCGGGGAATCCCCGCGGAGGTGACCAGAGTCGCAGGGTCGTGTTTGGTGACCCTTATAATCACTTCGTTCATTCCTCCCGTTTGACCCTTAACTCTGTTTGATCCTTATAATCACTCTTTCCCCGTTGAAAAATGATCGAGGCCATAGGTTTCTTATAAGAAGCCCACGGAACTAAAGATTCGGGAGGCGATAAAAGTGCCGGGAGTGGGGGTAGGCCTCGAGCGCTCGGAGCTCCTGGTATCTTATAGAGAGATATCTTATATGCACGGAGAGAAATGTTCAGGAAAAACTACGCAACTCACAAGTCGCTCACCGATTACGAAATCGACTCGGAAAATTTAAGTGACGCTATCGTAATTTTTCACAGGAGATTCTGGTAAAAATTACGGAACGCTCTGGAAAAATTCCGTGACAGTTCCGTAAAATCTCCTACAACCACATTTTGCTCCGGACTTACGGAAGAGATACGTAATTTTCATTGAATATTTCGATAAACCGGGGCGCCGGATTCGATTCCCGGCTGGGTGAGGCGGAAATTTTTTCTCTCTAAATTCTAATTCTCTTAGAATTCTTTAATCCCTAAAGGAGGTTAGGCGGTGTATGAGGTGAATTTGAGAGTGAATTTCTGTGGTTCCCGGTAACTTAGTCGGTAAGAGTGCTCGGCGCGTATCTGGGAGACCCGGATTCGATTCCCGGCTGGGTGAAGCGGAAATTTTTTCTCTCTAAATTCTAATTCTCTTAGAATTTTTTTTCTTTTTTTTTGTTCCGTGTTTGTTTTATTTCGCTGCGTGTGAAGCCTCGACTGTATTAGGAAATTTTTCTCTCAGTGTACGAGGGCTCTGAAATTAAAGTCGTATGAAATCACGTTGAAATCGTCTGGAATCATTGATTTCGCGTCGATAAAATGGCTCGAAATCAGTGAAATCATCTCTGTAATCACGTGAAATCGACTTGATTTCGAAATCATGGCACACCCAGTTATGGAGTGATCATCCCCTTGCTTCCTCCAAGAACTTACAACGCTGTATAATAAAAGATGTTCCGTTGATGTTGCTGGTCTGCAGCACTGCATAGTCGATGTATTCAAAGCCGAAACCCCCGACCCAGGAGTTTGATCACTTCCTCCGCAATTAGGAGTGCGTTTTCTCGCTGGCAGTGAGTGTGTCTTCCATCTGCCCATCAGTATCGCTTTTTCACGCTCGCAGAGACGTTCTAATTCGGAGAGACGTGTCTGCAGGGCACGCTGAAGCTCGATGTACCGCATGTGGAGCTCTACCTTTCTGACGCAATCCTCGAAGGAGACGACCATTCGCATTCGGGAGTCACAATTTTTTATGAAATTCACGAGGGTCTTGTGGTCAGCCCGATCCATCTCGTGGCCGTTTATCGAGAGAATGACGTCTCCCTCACGCATCCCTGCTTTGAACGCTGGACCGTCGTACTCCACGTAGTCGACGTACGTCACCATCTCGATTTCTTGCTCTCTTTTGTAGTGAATTCCATAGCTCTGGGAAGAAGTCACAAAAGAGTGGGTTTATTGAATTTTTCAGCCTATTGTCTGCTTCAGAAAAATGGAAACTCATGATAAGAACTGGTCTTTTGCACGAAAAGTTTTCAATGGGAATTGCTGAAGAATCGTTATTGTTGAAGTGGCAGGGGAAGTAAAGAGTTTCAAAGTGAACATTTTTTTTCTCTGAAACTTCTTTCGAGGGAATCGAAACTTTTCTACAGACTTTTCATTGCCAAAGAACGGGATTGAAAATTCTCAATTTGAGCAAAGCTCCTCTGGGGAATTTTCAATCGGGGAGTTATCATTTTGAGAATGTTAACAGTATCAGCGGATTAATAATTTTGATACTCCTCTAACTGCAATTCAATAGGGGAGACAAAGAGGCGGGTGTCAAAGCTTCTATCACGCGCGGAAAGAAATGTTCAGTCAAAATTACGGAACTCATGATTTGAGTACCGATTACGGAATCGACTCAGAAAATTTAAGTGACGGTATCGTAATTTTTTACAGGAGATTCAGATAAAAATTACGGAACGCTTTGGCGAAATTCCGTGACAGTTCCGTAAAATTTACTACAACCACATTTCGCTCCGGAATTACGGAAAAGATACGTAATTTTTACTGAATATTTCTCCGTGTATTTATAGGGGAGGTTGGGGTAAAATGCACACTTGACTTTTTTTTAAATGTAAATGACGCGTTGAAATGTTGATAAAATTTAATAATTCTTTTTTCATTGCAAAGAACAGTTCTTTCTCTTTATGATGAGCTTAAAATGAGCTCAATTGATAAATTTGTTTCTGAGTTATGAGTAATTAAAACAAAAGTCTAAAGTGTCCATTTTACCCCATTCTCCCCTATTGCTTTTTAGCAATCACTATTCACATTCTAAAATTATCAACTTACGTCTCCAACGTATTACAGTTTGGGGCACAGTGGGACAGTGTCCAAAAACTTTAAAATAATTATAAATGTTGTTTCTTTGTTTTCACCTTCGAATCTCCAACAAACGACAGAAAAACTCTGAAATCGGTAGGGAAGGTCCCGATGAATCGATTTTTTAATTTGGGGCACAATAGGCTACGCATAAGAAAATTCTTTTATTTTCAATGTCATATTCATTAACAGACGAGTACATTGTAACGATTTTCTATACAATTTTTAAAATTTTCGTTATTCGTTAAATTAATATTGTTTTTCAAATATCGCGATAACGAGTAGCCCCACTTGTCACCGACATAATTGGAGGAACAAATGACATTATCCATTTTTTCCTAAAAAACCACTCTTTTCCTTAACTTCATTTTTTTTTCTAGAAATCGAAATTTCAGAATTTATTCATTAGATTTGTCTTGTTGATCTCAACTTTACGAAGTGAAATCCTAATACTTCTCATTGATTGTTTTTATTCTCTTTCTTCAGTAGCAAAGTGACGTTTATATCAGTAAACAGAGAGTATGCACAGTAAGTGGGATTCCATTCTTCTCATTTTTTATTTTTTCAGAATTTTTTTTCTGATTATCTAAGTCTAAATCATTGTGAGAACTCTGTTTTAATCAAAATACCCAATATGGCGGCTTATCCCGGTGCACCGGGAGAAATTTTCTAGAAAATTTCTAGTACGAGTACTGGAAAAAATCACAATCCACCGGCTGTGAAAAATTCTGATGCTGTTAAGGTAAAATTTCTTGGTATTTCTGGTAAAATTTCTGGGGATTTCCGTAAAATTTTCACAGAAACACGAGGAAAAATTCACGTTTTCCCCAATAAAATTTCTAGTGTCGGCACTGGAATTTTTTCCTGGCTGTCACTTTGCGCCTCGTTTCCCGTACTAGCACTAGAATTTTTCTAAAAAATTTCTCTCCGTGTGTTTGAAAGAAATGAAAGAATTTCCAGAGTTTTATTCAAAGTACTCAGAGTATTATTTCAGTTTTTTTAGCTTTTTTTGACTTTTTATTGATCCCTGATCGAGCTCTCGTCAACTCTTTGAATTTCTCAATTTTGGCCTTTTTTACATACCCCACTATACCCCAGCCACCTCGCTTTGCCCCCCTCCCCCTAAATCCAAATTCGAATCCAATTCTGAATCTAAAGATGAAGTTCCATTCCCATTGAGATGACACGCAAATTCTTTGTAATGAAAAATATTTCTCACTGCATGTACTTTCCAAAGTAAAGTAATTCAGGAAAAAATTCAGAATTCGCGTTTTTAAAAAAATAACCAATTCTGAAAAAATTGCCAACAAAAAATAGCTCTCGGCATTTTTTATAAAACCCCTCATCATTGAAATACTCAACGGTTCAACGAATGCGAAAAATGAACTTGATGTGCTTTCTGACGCTCTACCACTTCAACCACTGAATTATAACACCCTCTTTGTTCTCACAAAATAATCCATTATCTAGGAAAAACTCCAATTTTGAAAAGCCCCGAGCAGTGATCGGCATCAATCATTATTCCAGAAATATTAAGAGAATTATTTCCCCAAATAACAAAATTCATTCGTTTATCATTGGAACTTAGAAAATAATAAATAATTGAGAATTTAAATTATTTCAATAACTATTAGGTAAATAATTGCAAATTTTCAAAAAATATTAGAGATTATCAAATCGCCAGTCTTCCGAATTCGATTATTGATTGGTAAAATAATTCGGAATTCAAATATTTAATTGTTGATTAATTAATAATTGAAAATTGTTAAATTCTATTACTTGATTGAGTATTTATGAAATTAATGGTAATGATAATTTATGATTATGCCTATCTCTGGCCCCGAGACATCGCGATGCAACTGACGTCAAGCGTTCCATTCATGCATCACAAACTGCTGATTAACGATAGATTGTCCACACGTGTAGTCTCGTACCTGTAATGTAAAACCATACGTTCCATTTTTCTTCTCTACAATGATAGTGCGGCGTCGACGGTCCTCATCACTCCGGGTCACTCGATCCGCCTTGGATCGCTCCAGCACCGCCTGATGACACAAAAAGAAGACAAATTACATCGACAACTCCAGTGTCTGTAGTGATCAATGAACTCCCAACATTAGTGTAAACTCAAGTACTCAACATCACCAACTACTCTTAATATTGAAATCCGAGAATGTAGACCGTTGCAATTTTGCATTTCCGGCGAATTCGATATTTTTAGAATCCAATCCCCTACTATCTTTTTCACAGTTGCATCTGTCCGAAGAGAGATGAAACTTGGAGACAAATTTCGTGTGAATGTTTGGCTTGATTCAACGCATAAATTTCGGGAAATGTGGAGGAAGGAAATTAAATGCATCCGGTGAATTTCATATTCATATTGTTGGGGGGAATTTCATGCAGATTCCATTCAAAATGCTTTTGTGGCTTTGTGGACCTGAGGGGATGCTAGTTTTAGTAGTTGAGTGATAAAACGAGATAATTCAATTATGTGCGGATTTTTCTATAAATATGTCAGACTTGGAGAGGAAGTATGCGAAAATTCCAGAGAAAAACCTAGCGCAAAAAATTCAGAATATATATTAACATATTCCGAATTTTACCAGAAATCAATTTCACGCCTAAAAGGATGAGGTCTCCGAAAGTTTAAACAATTTCAATTGTCTATATATCAAGACGGAATTCAGTAGCGAAGCGGTAAACTGGGTTGAGTCGATTTTTGATGAATATCTCGGAATCTAAGAGAGATAGCAAAATTTTTCTCACCATCTTTTCTGTAGAGCCAATTGAGGGTTATAATAAAGGTCATGAGACAAATTTTGTTGTCTCTTTTATATTCCGAGATATTCGTCAAAAACTGACCAATAGTCAAAATCAACTTAACCCGGTTTACGCTTCGCTACTGAATTATAATCTTGAAATAGATAATAATAATTCCATGCAAAATGTGATTTAGATGACGCAGAATATTCATGATTTGTTTAAAAAAATTCTCACGCAATTTAACTGGAAAATTTGATTATTGCAAATGGTTGAATCTATAGTGTGGTCTGTACCGAACTGTAAAAGATACTTGGATATCCTTAAATGAAGAGGTCTATTCCACGTGACTTTTCCATACATGGTTTCCATTTCTCATGCTCAGAGAGAAAAACAAACACGTTGTCAAACAAGTCTTGGTTGGGCCAACAAAATCGCTAGTTGAAAATTGCCAAAAAAGAATTTGTTTGGTTCGAATTTGAAAGTCTCAAACATGAATAATTGTTGTGCTTTCCACTGCAACGAAATATTTGGCTCAAGAGGCGGATAATTCACACCAGACGGTGCCTTTTCAGAATGAAAATATCTCGTGTAGAGGAAAATTTATCAACAAATATTTTATCCCTAAGTTACAAGATTGTTATCATATCATTATTATTTAGGGGAGGGTGGGGTAAAATGGACACTTTAGACTTTTTTAAAATTATTCATAACTCAGAAACAAATTTATCAATTGAGCGCAGTGCAGGCGCACCACAAAGGGAAAGAATTGTTCTTTGTATTGAAAAAAAAATTATTGAATTTTATCAATATTTCAACCCCTCATTAACATTGAAAAAAAATTCAAAAGTGTCCGTTTTACCCCAACCTCCCCTATTGTTTCATTTAAGGGTTCATTTCTTGTCGGTGATTATTAGACAGCCGAAANGCAGTGCAGGCGCACCACAAAGGGAAAGAATTGTTCTTTGTATTGAAAAAAAAATTATTGAATTTTATCAATATTTCAACCCCTCATTAACATTGAAAAAAAATTCAAAAGTGTCCGTTTTACCCCAACCTCCCCTATTGTTTCATTTAAGGGTTCATTTCTTGTCGGTGATTATTAGACAGCCGAAACGAAAAACTACTATCCCTTGTTTCGTATAACACAAAGATTTTTCGGGAGCAAAAGGATTAGTGCTAGAAATGACATTTCTTGCGTCTACAGAGAATGCAATTTTTTTTAACTACTAAATTTGTTTTTGCGACAAAAATTTTTCATTCCCGCGCACTCTCTGCATGTTTGCCAAAAAAATCCGTTTTTGATAATTTTCAAAAAACTATTGTCTTGGTCAAGTAAGACTTGTTTGAGAACTTTGTTGTTTTTCTCTCAGTGTGTAATTTTATACACTTCCCTTAACGGTTAAGGATGTTTACCCAGTGTCGGTAAATTGTTGGTAAATGTGTTTTTTTCCATGGTCAAGAAAAATTCTGTCATTTTTTCGGCTGACAGTAGAACATACAAAACTAACTTTCCGAACGTTAAAAAAAATTAATCGCAATAGTCTCGGCGGAAATGAGTAAACCAATTTTTCCTGATACACGGGCTCTTATAAAATTTATGTTGAAATTGATAATTTACTTACTAGAAGACTCTAAAAATAGAAATAAAAATAGAAGGTAATATGAAAAATCATACTGAATCCAACGGCCGGAGAAAAATCGGGGGTGCCCGGGCAAAAAGAGAAAATATTTGAATGATTCTATCCCATATAAGCGCATGTTAGCGCATGCATTTGCTGCATTTTGTCCATTTCATTTCTAAATAATGAACATGGGTTGGTGGATTGAAATTTGTATCAAAATAAAGGGAATATCTTCATCTCTCAGTTAAAAAAAAAACAATTTTTTTTTAAGTACCTGCGATTTTGGATAAACATCCTTAAGGCTTAACCCCTCACGAGCGAGCCCTTTTGTTACCAAACGTAGTGTGCGCTCAATGCGACTTGAATTCCATTATTTTTGATAAATGGAAAATTATGAAACCGATATCGTATTGAAGCTGCAGTATTCCGGCTTCCAATGTTGTTTGTCTAGCTAACTCATTCTTCATAGATTTAGAAATACTCAATTTTGAAAGCAAGCGTTCACATTCGCACGGGTCAATACGATGTATCGACCCCGTACGTTCGCTAATTTCGAAGATATCCATCACGCTCAAGTTGACTTGATTTTCTTATCCCGTTTGACTACTTCGAAATTAATTTCAAAGTCATTCAAACTCGAAGAGCATTTGTGGTGGATCATAAACCTCGTTTGCAACATATTGTGACTAATCATGTGGTGAGACTTTTTATTGTTAATGAAAGATATTTAGTTTCTCGTTTAAGTGTAAGAACCGGCCCTATTGCGTCAATCCAGTTAAGAAGATCTTCATTCAAGGAATAAATAAAAATTATCTGTTGATCTGCTAATCTGCGATTTTGATCGATAGTTCATCGAAGATATTTTCCAACAAAAAATATCACGAATGAAAAAATTTAATAGAAAACCTTTGCACCGACGGCAGTGGCTGTGTGGTTATTTTCTTACTAGAGAAAAAAATCTCTTCTTTTTTTCTTTTTGAGCGCAATATAAACGATAAATAATGCTACTGATCGGAGCAAAGGTGACGAACCTAAACTACAAAAATAAAATCGTTGAAATAAAAACAATACTAAGCCTAAACTCAAGAGACGCATCGCGACCATAGTTTAAAAATTAACCAGATAAAAAAACACTAATTTTTTTATGTACCTGTTTTTTTATAGGTAAATAGCTGTAAATAAATGTAAATAGCTGTAAATAAATGTAAATAGATATTAGTATTAAATGAATAAAAACAAGGTTAAATAAAAAAATTGAAAAAAAAGTGGCTGTGTGTTTAGAGTGTGGGATTGGCATGCGGGAGACCCGGGGTCGATTCCCGACTGTGGGGGCCAAAATTTGTGACACTCTAAATCTCACGGTTTCTTTGTCGAGCGGGAGTATTCAGTTCGATATTCATGACTGAATGGCTAAAGAAAAGCACTCCACAACGAATTCTTAAAATTGTCCAAGTGTGGAATAAATTTACTCCAGACATAAATTTATTCTGGGGATTTGCTTGGCTATCAGGGTATAGTGCAACTGGTTCTAAATATAATACCTAGAATATAATAAAATGTAATGAATGTACTACAATCCATTCCCATTCTCCTCATCGTTGAATTGAATGACTGTAATGAATTTATTGTCTCCATTTAAGGGGGGATACTCATATAATATCGACTCTCCTCAGATGTTTTATCTGTCGTTACCTGCAGCTATGAAAATCAATCTGTATTCTATGCTTTTTCATTCCTCCAAAACTGTGGAAAATTCTCTTTTTTCGGATTCATTCACTTACTCAATTCCATCATTCATGGAAAAAATTATCTGGTGAATTTCATCTACTAGTTGGTGAAATTCACCAACTAGTTGCTGAAAAAATGAATTACCAACCAGTTGTTTCATTTCAATAACTAGTTGGAGAAATTTAACAACTAATTAATTAAAATTCAGAAAAGATTTTTCAATTTCATTCAATCAATTTTGCCTACCAAACTAGATGGTGAGGGCATATATATATTTGGAAATAAGCACGCAATCATATCTTGACAAGCGATTAATGTCTCCCCTAGAAGATATTTTCGGAATAATCTACAATTCCTTGTTAAATTTTATCCATATCAAATAAATCGACAAACGTGTATTGAAAATTCAACAAATGTTTGGCGAATAAAATTGAAGAAACTTTTTTTAAATTTTAATTAAATAATTTTTAAAATAAAAATAGTAAAAATAATAATAGTAATAGTTAAATAGTTGGTGAAAGTCACCAAGTACTTGGTAAAATTCACGAAATAATTTTCTCCGTATCATTAGAATTTTATTTTCAAGAAGAAAGATACTCTGAGGAATCGATGAAAAACATTTTTATATTTTCAATACCAGTGCTCCAATCCTCTTTATCACTGTTCTCAGCTCCAAATTACATATCGATCCCAGAACAGACGTCCTGCCTCCCATTCCCTCCGCAAAGAATTGTCTCCATTCTATTCAATCCCTTTCAATTTATCTAGAACTAAATCACGATCTTCTGTCTCCAAAACTTATTAACCACCAAATTTTTTCATCCATTCAATGGAATTTCTACAAATCTCAATTGCATTTTTCGAACCAGAGGGAAGAAATTTTTTATTGTCATCTATTCCTAATTTTTAGGGATTCTTGACCCAAACTCGAGTTGCCCTTAAAACAAAGCATTTTCTCATTGAAATGTGGGGAAAACTCCATAAAGTTTAACATGAAAAAGCCATTGAATTTTAACTAGTAAATAATCTTACGAAACAAGAGTGTAATAATTAAATAAAGAAATGATCCCATGAAACACTGGTAAATCTCAGTAAAATTCTTTGAAATTTGATACAAAAGTTATTGAAAATCGGAACTATTTCTTGATTTCACAATTAACATCGAAAATTAGTGTCAAAAACTCTTGTTATTACGATTTTTCACTCGTAATTTTTTAAACCGCGAGCTCTGAGATGTTGGGAATGTTCATCCTGAAAACTAAACGTTTTTTTCTGTGAAGAAATTCACATTTTTTTTCGCAAAAAATTTTTGAACCTCATGAATCAGTCAATCAATCAATCAAAGAATATTTACACATTCAACGATAGTGCTCCAATCCTCATCATCACTGTTCTCAACCCCAGATCGTCTGGAGCCAACGGCCTCCGAGTTTTGCGGTGAGCCATTCATCTTCAATGACGACTCAGGTATCTCGTTACCAGCTGGAGAATATCTCCCAGGCCTTCCACGTCACATTCACCCAATCACATGATGCCACCCTTTTAGGCCGTATCCGGGCGCACCAAGAGGAGCCACCGAACGCACTGAAAGCAATATGCTGTCCTCGGACACGCACAAGTGCTCTCGGGGATGGGGTTGTCCAGACACTCCATCACGCAAGCGCCACAATATCGGTCTACAATATCCCTCCCGTGGGGGGTGAACATCGGGCGTTTGCGCAGGGACTGGGTTAATGCCCCCACCGATGAATAATCCTCTTGGATTCTGGGTGAATTTCGAGTTCAGTCGTGATGCGGGTGGACGAGATGAGTTTGGAGGTGATTTGCGTATTATTGTCCAGATGTCTTCGGAGTGAAAACACGCAAAGAAATTTTATGAAATGAAATTGGAGTAAAGACCCACAAAAGTTTCAGAAAGACATTTAGCGCATTAGCTAAAAAATTCTGCAGCTTTCCTGTGCGTTTTTTCTTTTCTAGACATATTCAATAGAGAATATTGCGTATAAAGTTAACACATGGAGAGAAAATTCTAGCAAAAATGATTTTTAATGGATGAGTTATTTATTCCATACGATGAGAATATTTTCTTTAAAATGGGTAATTGAGTTTGTTGACAGGGTTAATGCCCCCACCGATATAATCCTCATGAATTCTGGATGAATTTGGAATTCAGTCATGATGTGGGTAGACGAGATGAGTTTGGAGGTGAATTGCGTATTATTGTCCACATGTCTTCGGAGTGAAAACACGCAAAGAAATTTCATGAAAACATTTAACGCATTACACTGTTGGAAAAAGAATGAAATTTTAGTTTGTCATTACATTAATGGCATTAATGGTAATCGATGGCGCTCAATATGTACCGGAAATTTGAAATGAAGAAATGGCTAGGGGCCGGATGGTTCAGTTGTTTTCGGAGTAAAGACCCACAAAAGTTTCAGAAAGACATTTAGCGCATTAGCTAAAAAATTCTGCAGCTTTCCTGTGCGTTTTTTCTTTTCTAGACATATTCAATAGAGAATATTGCGTATAAAGTTAACACATGGAGAGAAAATTCTAGCAAAAATGATTTTTAATGGATGAGTTATTTATTCCATACGATGAGAATATTTTCTTTAAAATGGGTAATTGAGTTTGTTGACAGGGTTAATGCCCCCACCGATATAATCCTCATGAATTCTGGATGAATTTGGAATTCAGTCATGATGTGGGTAGACGAGATGAGTTTGGAGGTGAATTGCGTATTATTGTCCACATGTCTTCGGAGTGAAAACACGCAAAGAAATTTCATGAAAACATTTAACGCATTACACTGTTGGAAAAAGAATGAAATTTTAGTTTGTCATTACATTAATGGCATTAATGGTAATCGATGGCGCTCAATATGTACCGGAAATTTGAAATGAAGAAATGGCTAGGGGCCGGATGGTTCAGTTGTTTTCGGAGTAAAGACCCACAAAAGTTTCAGAAAGACATTTAGCGCATTAGCTAAAAAATTCTGCAGCTTTTCTGTGCGTTTTTTCTTTTCTAGATATATTCAATAGAGAATATTGCGTATAAAGTTAACATGGAGAGAAAATTCTAGCATCAATTAGGACGAAGTTATTAATACGCAATATTACATTATTTTTATCAAATAAATCGTTTATTTGAATCTAACAGAAGATTGATTTTTAATGAATGAATTATTTATTCCATATAATGAGAATGTTTTCATTAAAATGGGTAATTGTGTTTGTTGACTGGGTTAATGCCCTCACCGTTGAATAATCCTCTTGAATTCTCGGTGAATTCCGAATTCAGTCATGATGTGGGGAACGAGATGAGTTTGGAGGTGGCTTGCGTATTATTCTGCAGATGTGTTGGGAGTGAAGACCCACACAAAAAACTCCATAAAGACATTTAGCGCATTAGCTAAAAATTTCAATTGATCTCCTACTGAAAATTGCATTGATTTCTCACCAATGTTATTGAAAAATTCTGCAGCTTTTTTGTGCGTTTTTTTCTTCATAGACACATTCAATAGAAAATATTGTAAAGAAAAATTTAATAGGATTTGATGCTCCTATATTAGGAGAAAAAAGATGGGAACAAATTACCACTAAAATTCTGTAATTGTGGGAAGAATTTACGGGAAGTGAAATTGTTGTTTAGGTGAAGAAGAGGACGAATTTATCAACATGTAATATTACCTTGTCTTTATCAAATAAATCGTTTACTTGATTCTAACAGAAGATTGATTTGGAATGAATGTATTATTTATTACAAACATTGTTGAAAATTTTCCACTGAAATTTCCGATAAGGGCCTTGGAATTTTCTAATGAGTAACATGTTCACTGAAATTTTGAGGAATTATGTCATTGATAATTCACAATTTAATCGAAAAACCCGTGGGAACTATGAATTTCAATTTAATTATTCTGAGAAAATTAGTGAAAAATCAGCAAAGTTCACAGAAATCTCTCTTTAAATTCCACATTTCTCTGATTTTTCCGGAAATTCCTTCACAAATTCCTGGAATTCCAAGAATTTTAAAGGAATTCCCTGAAAATTCAAGAGAATTTAGCAGTGAATATTCATTTTTATTTAAAAATTCAAGTAAATTATGGAATTTCCATCTTCCTGCCGCTAAAAAGTTGGGACTTTACTTGAATTTAGAAAAACTCGAAATTCCAGTGACTTTTTCCCCTTAAATCGAATTCAAGATCTTTTTCCGAAAAATTCAGCTAAATTTTTTTAACAGTGTATAATGAGAACGTTCTCATTAAAATAAGCAGTTGAGTTTGTAGATTTCCAACAAAAACATTATTGGAATAAATAGAAAAGGTTCAAATAACGAATTTTATTCCCTTCCAATGCGTGTTCCTCAGTGTGTTCGTTTAAGTTTTTCAATTTCTTTTTCTTCAACTTTTTTTTTCAAGTAACAAATATTTCGAGTCGTCCCTTTTTTACACAAAAGAAATATGAAAGTGAACAGCTGACTCGTGTCATTCCACTACTTTATTTTAAACTTCATTTCGTACCATTTGTTTGCCTTATTTATGGACTTCAGAGTTGAGTTCCTACGTCTCCCCTGACTTCTCAGTAATAACAAGTCTATTAACAAGGAGCTGATTTACATTTCAAATGTCATTGTTGTTGGTGCAGTATCAAATCCAGTAGCACAATGATTTTATCCTCCGGCTATATTGCATTAAGTCGAGCTTGATGCAACGCTCGATCGTAAACTAGATTTAATTAACAGTTTCGCGTGATAACCCCCGTCGAATGCCCCTGTTCTCAATCTAATCGCGTTTTAGAGTTTATTGTCTCGGAAGATCATGACGGGGATCAAACGACCCTGGAGATGATAATGGAGTGCATGTCTCAGTCGGGTGTAATAACACGAGTTGTCCTTGAAGCCAGATCCACGTGGACGTCTGTCGATATATACGTTGGATAAGCGATTCATTTCGCTGGTAGTGCATTAGGGTATTCTCTCCGATATGAACGAGAGGAACAATTGAGGCCATTTTCAATAATAACGATGCTTTCAATTTTTTTCCTTGTAATTTTCTACTTTTCTTTCCAAATGTTAACACTCTGTTAATTATAATTCCTTTTAAATATTAATACTCCTTTAATTATAATTCCTTTTAAATATTAACACTCCGGTCGTCACGCGATGAGCACTTCTTCCAATTTTTTAAATGAAACTGCAGAAAAAAAATGTCTGAGAACAATGTGAAAAAATTAGACATTTCATGTTCAAATGTCTAGAAGCCCTGTCAAGAGAAATTTCCCCAAGAAAAATTGCAAGTAGGGTAAACAGCCCAATTTCTTGACGGAGGCTAATTTCTGAACGATTCCAACGTGCATTGAATATTCTCCATTATCACAGTATTGATCTAGATAGAAGCCGTCGAGACGAGTATTGGGAAAAAAATTGAAATCCGTCAAGTAGTTCATGAGATATTTGAAGAAATATATTTACACAAAAGTTTGCATATCTCAGGAACCGCTCGACCGATTGCGCCCATCCAAAATACTAAACTTTTGTATTTTAAGAGCAAGAACCAGACCAAACTTCAACTTGCTATTTCCTTTTTTTCTTAAGTTATCGTGCGTACAAGATTTTTCATGGAAAACGGAATAACGGCAATATCTCCAAACTGTGGATTAAAAAGTCTATAAATCCTGATTGAATTACATAGAGGCCATCAAGACGAGTATTTTCAAAAAAAATGTTGAAATCGGTGCAGTAGTGTTTAAGATATTGAGGAAAAACGAAATTTAAATAAGTTGTTATATTTCAGGAACTACTGGACCGATTGGGCTGAAACAGCGCGCCAAAGTTGGCCTCAATAATAGCTACAATGAGCGAAAATTTCAGTTTTTTATTTACAAATGTCACCGTATTTATGTTCAATTTTCGAAAAATTAATCACCAAAAACCCCACGCACTAAAAAATTTAATAAAGAATCCTAGCGAATTCCCTAGAAATTTCTAATGGATTTCGATTGAACATTCTATTAGTTTTTGGTCGATTCTATTTAAATTTTCAATAGAAAAAGTCAATAGAATTTTATTTTTCTATATAACTTATTCTATTCAGATATTCTCTAGAGAATTTCCTCGGCTCAAATTTTCCAAGTTCCTTTCATCAAGAAAATCATACAAAAAATACTTGGAAAATTCGAGCCGAGGAAGTTTCTCTAAAAATGATCTCAACAGAATAAGTTATATAGAAAATCGAATTCTATTGACTCTTTCTATTGAATGTTTCGCTAGGTTTTTCGTTTGAATTTTTTCATCCGTGCCAAATTGTCGAATACATACATACAGACATAAGCCTAAAACATCATTTCCTAAAAACATTTCATTGTTTAAAAACATCATTTTTTCACGTTTCATAACATTCTAGACCAATCTTTGACCTTTGATTTTTGACATTCTAGACCTTTGCAATCAAAATTAGAAAATCAAAAAATCGGTTAAAAACAAGACTTCCATTCGGAAGCAAAAGGAGTATTTTGGCGCTACGCGCGTTTGCTCCTGCGGTTCCGATGTATGTAAATTAACCCCCCGAGTATGGAAATTACTTATGATTAACGACTATTCAACCACTTGACCAAATTTGTCGTTCTCAAAAATTTCACTAATCACGGAATACGTGAGCGTTGAGGCGTGCTGTGAGCGTAGATTTGATGATTAAGTATAGCTGAAAAGGTGATAACAGCGGAAAAAAATTGATGTTTTATAAAGTTAGTGTATTGAGTCATTGATACGCCGTTTAATGGACATATATAAGGAGGCATTGACAATGAGAAATCTTCAGTATTCAATTAACCGCCACAATGAAGTTCCTAATTTGTTTCTGCTTCATCTCTTGGTCAGCCCTTGCGGCTCAGCTATTAGCAGTCCAGATTTTGACGTCCAATGGTCTGGTGGGCCGCGACCCGGTGAGCATGCCCAACATTTCGACATCTCCTAATAAAACGAGGGTATTTCAATTTGCCTTTTCAGACAGAGGTATCTCAAAATTCGTATTAAGACTACACTGAGAGAAAAACGACAAAGTTCTCAAACAAGTCTTACTTGTGCCAAGAAAATAGTTTCTAAAAATGATCAAAAAAAGATTTTTTTGTGCCAAAAAAGCAGAGAGTGCGCCGGAGTGAAAAATTTTTGTCGCAAAAATAGATTTAGTAGTTCAAAAAAAATTGCATTCTCTCCACCCGCAGGAAATGTCATTTCTAGCACTACTCCTTCGTTATTCGATACTCCCATACGTATTTTGCTCCCAAAAAATCTTTGTTTTATGCGGAATAAGGGATAGTAGTTTTTCATTTCGACTATCTAATAATCACAGACAAGAAATGAACCCTTAAATGAAACAATAATAATGATATGATAGCAATCTTGTAACTTAGGATAAAATATTTGTTGATAAATTTTCCTCTATGTGAGATATTTTCATCCTGAAAAGGCACCGTCTGGTGTGAATTATCCGCCTCTTGAGCCAAATATTTCGTTGCTGTCGAAAGCAGAACAATTATTCGTGTTTGAGACTTTCAAATTCGAACCAAAAAAAATTCTTTTTTGGCAATTTTGAACTAGCGATTTTGTTGGCCCAAACAAGACTTGTTTGACAACGTGTTTGTTTTTCTCTCAGTGTAGGATATCTCAAAATTCATGTGAAAGGTTGTTGTTCACATCCGTTCCTAAGTCTCACGGAGCTCGCAAAACATTTTATTTCTCTTTCACTGTGAAGTACTTTATGTTATTCGTACTTTTTGATGCATTCACACCATTTATACAATTGTCGAGAGAAGGAAAACAAGATTTCAGACGATTTTTCACATGAAATTTGAGATACCCTTGTTTTAAAAGGAAATTGAAATACATTTGTTTTATTAGGAGACATATTTTTTAATTTTTATCATTTTTCATCATTTTTAATTAGCTTTTTCGAACCTCATCTAATTACTCGTTCATTTTGAGCTCACGCATCAGTAACCCGAATTACTTTCCCCACATAAGACATCACACGTGCGGAAGCATTTGTTTAGAAAGAGTTCAACAGTTTCACTGGAAAATCATTTCGGGATACTGAAGTGGTCAGATGTGTGAAACGATTTAACTCTAGGTTGGTCACCATATGTGGGAAACGCGGCAGCGCGTCGGGTTTCTCTAAAGTAGTATAAATACGCCTTGAATTTTGAAGATTAAAATCTGCAATAAATTGTAAACGGAAGTTAATAAGAATAAAAATATTATGCACTGTTAGAATTTTTTTGAAACTTCATGGTGGATATTATATGTAGTAAATCTCATGAGAGTGACGTTGAACCGAATTTAGGGAAAAAATGGTTTTAAAGTTTCAAGTTTTAAGTAGAATTCGCGGAAATTCATGAGTTTTCAGTGGAAGTGAGATGGACATTTCACAACGTGATTGAATTTTCAATGGGACATGAATATTCAGAAACGACATGACATGGATTTTCAATTTTTTTCTAAATTTTCCTGATTTTTCTGAATTTTCACAGCATAATTGAACTAAAAAATCAAGCATTTTATTAATTTACAGATGATTTGAATAGAAAGCCAATGGAATATTTGATTTTTCAATGACAAGATTTCCAGAAATTTCAGTGGAAATTGAACACGATAAAAATTTCTGGAATTTGGCACAGAAAATTCAGACGAAAATTTTTAACAGTGTGGTTGAGTAGGTGTTGCATCGGCAGTCTAGTATTATTGTTCATCATTAATGTAGAAGTGTAAGAATGACACACAGTCTTATCCGAAAATTAACCATCCGCGGCTAGGGAGAAGATTAAAATCTAAAAAACATCTCGAAAAATAGAAAAAAAAAAAGTAAAATTCTATGGCCAAAATGAAAATTGTCGTCAGTGTCAAACATTTGTAGTAAATAATTATGTTTCTGCGTGCCTGCAATGGCTTGTTATGTCGAAGCACCCTCAAACTCGTCAAACGTGACACTATTGTTTAAAAAAATAGTTGAAGAAAGAATTGGACAGATCAATTTCTTACCCTCGTCGAAGTTAGAATTCATGGGATAAATTATCAATGATAAATGATTTTTCTTTCGGCTCTTTGAATTTATTTTACCTCGTCATGCTCTACGACTCAATTGGAATTTATTCATGCTATTTTGATTGGCATTGACGGGGAGGGGGAACCGGAAAAAATTTTAAAATTAACTTTTTCAAGTGAAGTGTCTAAAAAATTGTAGTAGTTTTCAGAAAACATTCCCGAAATTCATGAAGAAAACAAATTATTTGCAATAGATGATTTTTTTTTCCCATTTTAAATGCAATTTCCCGTTACGCGGCGTTGCCGGAAACTCGCTAAACGCGGTCGAGCAATGTAGAGCACATTCGGCAACGCTGGGGCCTAAATAATACTGCGGCGAATCCCCGCGGAGGTGAGCAAGTCGTAGAGTGAGCCGACTATTAACTTTATATTCAAACGAGACGAACCCACGCTACAGCGTGCTGTAATTGCAACAATCATAATCGAAAATCTCAAAATGAAATTAATCATGAATTAAATTTGCTGCCTCAGACGACTGGAACCAATGGGGAATAAGCGTGACAGACTTACGAGATACCGATAGTTATCGACTTTAAGGAGTAAACAGAATGCCGCTAATTTTTCAAATTTTTTAACAAATTTTCTACCGAAAGTTATCGATCTTTTTATAAATCAAAGCACATTAATCTGCAGGTGATGATGCTGAAGATCAATGTGATTTGGCTTCGAGAAATATCAAGAACTTTGAACAGGAAATTTGTTTGAGAATTTTCCGGGACTGGATTTTAGCCAATCACAGTGCAGTATTCGAGGTCATGATACTCTTTTGTTATCAAATTTTTTCGGAAATTGCACACTAGCTTCTGGAAATTGCATCTGATAATTGCATAGTAGCTATTCATTTATTTCTAACCAATTGGATGTTTTCCTGGAAGAAGCCCTCGAATACTGCGCTCCACTTGGCCAAAATCCAGTCCTGAAAAATTCTCCGCCGAATACCCCTCGACCTTCAAAATTAATCGCAATATTTCCCTTAAGCTTCCCTGCAAACAAACAAAAGTGTCAAGTTTTGCAGAAAAATCCCTGCGCACTCGGGAGTTTTAGCCTGTAAAACTTGACACTTTCGTTTGTTTGCAACGAAGCTATCGGGAAATATTCCGATAATTTCGAAGATCTAGGGGTATTAAAACTGAAAATTTCGAGGAAACGGTGTCCTTCTCTTAACCCTTAAGCGTATATTCTTCTTAGAATAGGATAGGATTTCGGTGTAAATATCTAGAATTATTTCAGAAATTTCGAGAATAAAAGTGGACTAAATTGATTTATTTACACGAATGGATTAACGAGTTATTGGAATTTACAAAATCACTCAACTGTTTACTTCTCTACTGCGTCGTACATTCCAAATTATTTTCTCTTTCCCAGTATTTTCTTTTACGAGCGGTTTATATATATGTGGGGCCTGTGTCCCTTACACACACAAATTTCAAGAACAACAGACCCTTGTCCGACACATGGTGACAAGGGAAAACCATGGAGGCCAGAGGGCAAAGGAGCACTGCAGTTTCTCTCTAAGGAGTCAGTCTCTCGAGGAGAGAAGAGGCATGAAGACCTCTCAAATAAATAGTTCAGTTTTACCTAACTCTCTGTTTTCATTGATTTTCATCCTGATAAATCCCATAATTATAATACGAGTATCACAAAGCGCGTGTTTTTCTTATAAGAAATAAGTGACATATGCATCTCCCGATATGAGATGGTATGTTTCAGAATCTTGTGATGGAATATAGCAGCGCTGATCTCGAGGTAACAAATGCCAACATTCCGCTCAATAGTTGGTGGAAAGCGATCCCCACAAGGACTACATCAAAGAATAAGTTAAACTATGAGTCAGTTCGATTCCTGCAAACCATACGGAAAGGCAGTTCAATAACAGTACGTGATCTTCTATTGGTACCATGTTCATAATTATAGTATTTTTTTATTTTGTTATTTTATTGGTTTAAAGTATAGAACCCACATCCGGGTTATTAACACTATCGGTAACATTCATACATTTAATTTTTACATTGCTTTACTATATGAGGTATTCCACGCCAAATGAGTCGGCCGCTGACCCTCACCCTCTTGGAAATTGATGGCGATTTTTTCTACGATTGGGGAGGTTGAAAAACTACATCTCAAATTTTTTCAGATTTTTGCGGTAGCCTAGTTCGGAGATATGATTTTTGTTTCGTTTTTCCGGTTTTTTTCGATAACTGGAGTTCTATCCATCCGATTTTGATTTATTAAGCGTCAAAATTTTTCATTTTTTACTGCCTATAAGAATATTTTTAGTGAATTTTTTTTTTCGATCTCTAGATGCGCATAATGGCACCATTCCGATTCCTTTGGCGCCACGATTTGACGGTTGTTTCCCGAAGTATTTTGCCTCAGAAATCCGGAAAAAATAATAAAAAAATTCTATGTTGATTATTTATTTGAATTTTCGATATTTTAATCTAAAAAAATCATATTTTCCCAATTTATACCTTACAATCTTGGGGCGTTGGGTATTGAAGGGTCACGAGGGTGGAGGGAAAAATCAGTTATTTTAATGAGCGAAAAACTGAAAAATTTGAAAGTAATTTCGCAGAGCTTCATTTTTTTTTTGACCGAAATAAATCTATTTTTTTGGGTTTTCATGAAATTATCATCTACTTCTAAGGATTAAGTTTTTCTATTATGTTTATAAATAAAATAAATGTTTTTCTCTTGAATGGGGGGAGGTTTCGCCCCCCCTTCAACTCCCCTCGCCGGGGCTCCGCCCCTGGACCCCGCCAGGGGTTTCACCCCTGGACCCCCGCTTTTGTCTTTCGGCAAAACCTCCAGGTTTAAACAAAAAAAAAAAGAAGAGAGCCTCTAGGTTTAAACAAAAAAAAAATGAAGAGAACCTCAAGGTTTCAACAAAAAAAAAGAAGAGAACCTCAAGGTTTAAATAAAAAAAAAGAAGAGAGCCTCAAAATTTAAACAAAAAAAAAGAACAGGGCCTCAGGGTTTAAACAGAAAAAGACAGGGGGCATGAGGGGGGTTGCAGGAAGTTACAGGGGGTCACAAGTTGCAGATTCTCTAGGACATTTATAAACAAACTGAAGAATGTGTTAGGAATTTAAGGATATTTCGACATTTACAAATTTACAGACCGCTTAAAAAGGAAGTTTCTGGAAATTTTGTAGGATTTCTCACATGTTTTTAGATATTTTGAATGACATTCAAAAACCTATGATAATTTTTTAAATTAAATGTTCTATTCTCTCATTTACATGGGTATTTCTATTATTTCTCATATGATAAATGTTAATAAATATCAGGAACTTTCATTTTTTAGCTTTTTAGTTCATTTTTTTTAATCGACTTTCATCTGACTTTTATGGTGTTCAAGGGCATTAAAATTTCAAATAAATAACTGGTCAATTTTTGTTATTGAAAAAAAATATTTTATCAAAATTTTCAATTTTTATTTGATGAGTTGAGATCAGTTAATTGGAAATATGCCATTATTTTATCATTGAAATTGTCAAAATTGGGAGAACTAATCGAGATGGAATTTTTTTACTATTTTTCCCGGATTCCTGAGGCAAAATACTTCGGGAAACAACTTTCAAATCGTGACGCCAACGGAATCGGTAATAGTGCCCAACCGTGACGTAATTTGCAAAATTCAAGTTTTTCAACTTTTTTTCGAAAATTAATATTTTTTAACAGTGATGAGAAGACTTTTCGTTTACAAGGGAACTTTTCGGCACGCGGTGAACGTATGCAACAATGTCAAAATAGTATATTTTCGCACAGCGTGATGAAAATAGCATTTCATGACTAATGACGTAGTAATTTTTAGGAGAGCGAAATTGAATTCGATTTCAGGGGAAAAACTTGCAAAATGTCAAGTTCCACCTGAAATTTTATAATTCGTCGTATTTTTCACTGAATCATTCAACGAAAATTTACAGTTTCTATCGATTTTCCATTCAAGTTATGATGATATCAATGCAATATGTGATTTTTCGATGCCAAAATTTCCTGTAATTTCAATGTTGAATCGCAGTTTATCAGGCCTAGTAACGTAAAAGCTTGTAACAGTGTAAAAAACTTGTAATCATCGATTTATAATTATCCTATGATATTTATAGCTCCATTATACTGTGGAATACTTGAATATGTGGAACTCCTGGAAAAAATGGCTGAGTGGTTCCGTTTTACTGTGCAAAGAGGCTGACTTCACTCAAGATGGCACAATTTTAGCTCTGGTACAATCGCTTTTAGGAATGTCCTATGAATGTCCCTTGATAAAAGTGAGTAACAATTTTCTACATTTGAACAAGTTTTCCCTCAAAAGTATGACTCGTATATGACTTGAATGTACTTGCATCCCACTCAAGGGGAGACTACTGTCCTAATGTGGTTCTAGGAAATTTTACGGAACTGTCACGGAATTTTTCCGGAGCGTTGCGTAATTTTTAACTGAATCTCCTGTGAAAAATCACGATACCGTCAATTAAATTTTCTGAGTCGATTCCGTAATCTGTGAGTGAATAGTAGTCTCCCCTTAACTAAAGAAAAGTTGAGAATTATCTGAAGCCGGGCAATTCTAATCCTGATTTGTGATTTGATTCATGCAATTTTTTAGTGCGGCACTTTTCCATCCTCGTACCGGGACAATCTTTCTATATTATAAAAATCCAAATCGACTTCTGGTGGTAAAAATTTGGTACTCGAAATTAAGATTCCACAATTAAGGGTCACAAGGTTCAAAATGATGATCATGAGGGTAAGAATAAGGGTCGCGAGTGTCAGACGAAGGGTCAAGAGGGTCAGAATTAGGGTCATGAAGGTCAAAATAAGGGTTGCGAGGGTCGGATTAAGGGTCACATGGGTCAGATTAAAGGTCACGAGGGTCACATTAAGGTTTACAAAGTTCTGAATAAGGGGTATAATGAGGGTCACGAGGGTTCGATTACACGGAAAGAAATTTTCGATAAAAATTAGACCTCCAGAGGGCCAAACATGGGACGAAATGACATTCAACCACTTTTCAGGTCAAGTTTTGTCGGGAAAATTAGACTTGGGAGAAATCCGATCAATTAGCCCCTCCCTCATGTATAGATATTCCAAATTTTTATTTTATTCCTCATTGAAGTAGTTTTGAAGAAAATTACGAGGTAATAAAAAACATTTGCTAGTTAGTACTTTTTTAAAATAAATTTTTGAAAAATCACCCCTGAAAAAAAAGGCGTTATGCCCCCTATTTCATTATTTCCAAAAAAATTTATCACCAATCGGTAGCAAATTGTTTGAAGATTTT